CAAGAAGGAGGAGATCATTAAGACTCTATCCAAAGAGGAAGAGACCAAGAAATAAAGCTCCTACCTCTTGTCTGTACATAGTGGCTGTGGCTATTGTGTTCACAGGTCATTAAAACTGTTGAATAAAAAAGATTCTGTCTGCCTGCCTCTCTGCTTCCCAAAGTTTCTGACTGCTCCTGCGTCTACCCTGTTTACAGGGCCAGAACTGGCCGGGATCTGGGCCTTGCCAGGCGCCCTGTTTCTTAGCTTATGGTCTTGCTCAGTTCGATTCCCTCCTCCACCCGTGGTGGATGGCTTTGTTTTGCTGTTTTTATTTTAGTGGCAACTAGAGGGAAGGGAGCAGCTTTGATCCAACCATCTAAAATTCTGTGCCTGAAAAGCGGCTTTTATGTCAGGTTTCAAATGTTGCTTGGGAATCAGTAGTGGGGACAGCAGTTAAGTTACATTGTTGAAGACAAAAAAATGTACTAGGGTTGAAAGCTGTCCTAGAACAGCAGAATAGTGGGGTTTCAGTAATGACCCATAGGGGAGTTGCCACACTGCTACTTGAACTCTGCCACCCCATCTGCACTTGTGTGGGAGAGGCCATGTAAAAGTGATCTTGGGGGCAAGAGCAGGTGGGGAAGCCAGACTCAGAAATGCCCAGGGACCAGCCACCACGCCTTCTAGCATCAGAGTCTGAGGCCAGAGTCCAGTTTCTGCAGTTGCTCTCCACTAAGCAGCCTGTATTTTATCTGCATCCCTTCTAACCCTTGGCCATTCTTAGGGACAGGGCTGGAACCTGGAGGGGAAGGACAGGTCTTGGTCAAGCTCCCAGCCTGGAGTATGGACCTCCTTCCCAGGCTGGACCGGAGGAGGAGGGCATGAGAAGTCACCCACCGCCAGGCCTTCCTGGAATTCGGGGAAGGACGTTGAGGTAACCCGAGTGTGGGGCACTTCTCAGGCAGGGCTCCTGTGCCTTCAGCCCAGCAGCTGGTTCCATCCTGGGCCAGAAGGTGGTGCTGTTCTCTCACTGGTGACTGCAGGTGTGGTGCACAGCTTTTGTGTCCGTTTTGGGGGTGCGGGCAGGAGAGAGATGGGTTGTAGAAGCCCATCTTGGGAAGGTTTGAGCTCAGTGGCTTTTTTTGGAACCTCACCCAGGCCTTAAAGAGGTAACAGTTTCCTCCCTGGATTCCAACTTCTTTTCAGGGCAGCACCTGGGAGCCATCCCATTAGCAGGCAGATCCCCCAGAGTAATTGCTGGATCTCTTCCACATCCTGGAGTCTTGTGAAATCCTGATTAAAAGATGTCCCTCAAAGCACATACACCTGGACCCTTCATAAAACGTCGCGTACCCTGTCAAGGGTCCTTGCCCCCAGGTAAACACTGCCTCAGCAAGTCCCAACGTTTCGTGTTCTGGATGAGGAACTGAAGCCCAGAGAAGCCAATGACTCCCCATGATCTCAGCATTGCTTGAGCCCAGCACCCGCCCCACTGTTGATTCCTCCAGACGTGGGAGAGTGTGAGTCAGAGTGGGGTGCGGCGGAGGCACTGAGCACAGCTGCTGCTGCAGGGCCATGAGCCGGAAAAGGGGTACAGGGTCCCTGGCCTCTTTCCCAAAGCTCTGTCTCAGATCGAGTGAGGTCACCTAGGTTGGTCCCCAAAGCACGGAGCCCTAAGGCTAAGAGAGGGTTAAACATGCTGCCCTTCATGTGCTCCTGGGTAAGAGCCCCCAGCCTGGGGAGGAGAGGGTAGGATGTGGCTGCAGAAGGCACAGGACCAAGGGAGTGTTGCTAGCAAGATGAGGGCTACTCAGAGGGCCTCACTCTGCCTTCCCCGCGACCCTTGTATCCACCTCTCTGCCTTTTTAGACCTCCTGTCTCTAGCTCTCACCTCCCATGAGCCTAAATAACCTTCATCCCAAGCAGGGGGAGGGCCTGTGGGAGTCAGAGGTGCATGAGCCAAATGGTAGGTTGGCACCACCAGCAGGACCCTTCCTAGACATCCTCGAACCCAGGCCAATGGTGTTGCTGGTCCAGGCACCCCCAGAGAGGCAGAGAGGAGGGCAGAGGCCATGGGAAGGGCACCAGCTGTTCCCAGCCCCCAGGCTGTGAGCATACTGTCAGTGGTTCAGCCACCCGAAAAAAAGCTGCTGTGCTCAGCAGCGTGGCAAATGGGAGAAGGCGGGAGTCCAGGCCAGCTGCTGGCTAGTGGCAAAAACAAGTGGGGTGTGCAGAAGGCTTGGCTGCAAGGCTCCCTATCTCCAGCATGTGTGTGGGTGTGAGGCCTTGATCCCTGGAGCCCCAGGCCCAGACTCTGTGTATCTCTATTTGTGTCTGTTCTCCATCTTATTGGCTGAAGGCAATGAGGGACCCAAAATGGGGAGAGGTAAGAGCCATAGAGAAGAGACGCAATCACCCAGGCTGACTTGACCATTAATTTGCTGTGTGACCTTGAGCAAGTCACTGGCCCATTCTGAGCCTCTGCTTCCCATGAATAAAAGAGACAAGGTTGGACTGGGTGATGTATATATTGGCTGAGCCACCTAATGTTTCTGAGCCTCAGTTTCTGTGAAAAGGGGACACCTTCCTCATGGGGTCACTGAGAGGATTAAGTCAAACTAAGCTCTTGGCATGGTTCCAGGAACACAGGTCTGCCTGCCTATGTGAGTTTCCCAGCCTCTGGCCTGGGCTTGTGACCCTTTTCCCTCCTACCATCAGGGATCCTAAGAAGAGGATGACTCTCCTGCTATTGACACCCTCAAAGCTCTAGGGCCTTCCTGGGCTAGAGACCCCAAGAAAAACTCAGGGAGGGGGCCTCAGGGATGGTCCCACCTGGGCTTCCTTGCTTTTGGGGTGGGGGTCTGGTAATAGGGACCCAGGAGAGGAGGCCCCACCCCCTAGGCATTCTGGCAGCACCAGCATCGCCCTGGCACCGCCCCCTCCCCCCCCCCAGCAGCCCGCCTCTCCCTCCCTCCCTGCTCCCCTCGGCCTATAAATAGCACGGGACAAGCTTGTCGTGGTGATGACGCTGGCTGGGCAGAGTGGGGGCAGGCTGAGCGCTGCCGGAGCAGGTGGGCGGCAGCACCAGTTGGGGGGGACAGGGGCGCCGCCAGGGAGGGGCGCCGCCAGGGAGGGGCGCTGCCACGCCCACGCCTCCTTAGCACCAGGTCCCAGATGACAGGCGCCATTGAGTCATCAAGGGCCGAGTCCACGGCTGTCTCGGCTGTCTCAGCGTCTCTACCTGGAGCTTGGGGGGCTGCGGGGCAAGGTTGCTCCTGGGTGGGAACTCAACCCCCCCTGCTGCAGGGCAGGCTCAGAGGGCACCACGGGATGGACCTTGGGGTCTGGTGCGCAGAGGTGTGCTGCCCTGCCCAGCTCAGGCCTCAGGTGTGCCCGAACAGAAAGGGACCGCAGCCCCACCCTCTCAGGCCTCTGCCAAACCTCCTCCTCCGCTTGCCCAGTCCATGCCAGGTCTTTCTAGGCGCTGGCGCTCCCCAGCCCCTTCTCAACACCTCCCAGTTCCCTTTCTCTAGCCTGCGGCTGCTCCAGAGGAAGGGAGTGAGGGGGCTTGGGGCTCTCTGCACTGTCAGGGGCAGCCCAAAACCCCTCCTCTGGGAAATCAACACATTGTTCCACCTACAGAGTCTTGCCCCATCTCAGTGGCTCCAAAGCCTCCCCTTCCTCTACTCCAAGCAGATACACAGGACAGACAGGTTGGGACAAGAAACATTTATTTAGGAGTCTGGGGGCTCAGCAAGGCCCCAGCAGACCCATCATGCAGCCTCATGTACAGTGGGCATTGGGCCCGCCCCTGGGACATTGCTGGGGGGCTCATGGCAGCAAACAGGGCAGTGTGACCTCTCCCTCTGCAGGGAAGAAGTGGGGCCAGGCTGGTGGGCAGGAGATGTCACTCCCACCGCATGAGAGGCTGTGACTGTGCCCAGGGTGGGGGTGGCATTGGCTGGCACGATCAAGGGCACAAGAGGAGGCTCTGAGCTTGGGGGAAGAGGGAGGATGGCACCAGAGAAAAGCAACCTGCAAGGGAGAGTCCTCTTTGTCCACTGCACCCCACTCCAGGGTGCCTACTCCTTTCCTTTCCTGGTGACCAAACAGAAGTGCCATTTTCATTTTCTGTCTCCCACACCTTCTTCTTCCCAGGGTTCTCTCTGTCTCCAAGACAAGGCTATTGATGCAGCCGGAAAAGGGGTCCTTGCAACAGCAGCCCAGAGAAAGGGGGTGAGGAAGGGCCACTGCGAGGTCAGCCCAGAGGGCGGGGTTGCTGGGATGGGGCTGCCCAGCAAGAAGGCCTGGGCAGGAACTGAGACCCCTCCCCTGGCTCCCTGGCTCTGGCAGTGGGGGGCTCAGTCCTGAAAGTGAGCAGTGTTTTGACCAAGCAGGGACGAATTTTTGTTCTCAGATGGGCATAAAGTCAGGCTGCTCTTGGGCTTCTTTTAAGAGGTGCCAGTTCTCTCGAAGGGAAAGACTCTGGTGTGGCACACCCTCCCTGACCTCTACCCTCCCTCTGCCTGCCAAGGTTTCAAGTAATGGGAGAGATTGCCACAGAACTTTCCTGAGAATTGATGGCATGATAGAGACGGGGGTAGGGGGGGACCAGGAGACAGAATCGGGATCGTCTCGCAGCCCTGCATCCCACCCCAACTCAGTCTGGTGACCATGGGACTCAGGAAGGCACCTTCCCAAGTCCCCACTTTCAGAGGGCAGCCAGGGGTTCACACACAGACCCAAGCAGAGGCTCTGTGGGGGAGAGAGGTGTCAGGCATGCAAAGGCAGTGCTGGCTGGGGAAGGCTCTCCGAGCAGCAGCAGCAGGGAAGTCACCCAGGAATGCCCCCAGGGCTGGGCTGGGCATGATGACTGGACTGGGGGTGCCTGGGCCCTGAGTGGACCTACCTGGAGCTTCCCATTCCTTCCCATTTTCTCCTCCTTCCCCACCCCCAAGTCCCAGAGGAGCCACCCCTCAGGGCACCCAGCTCAAAAATTAAAATCTCCCTTAGTATAGAGGCCCCCCCAAGCCATGGTGAGTGGACCCCAAGAGAGAGCAGAGGGAAGAAGTGTGTTCAGATGTCTGCTCCCCTCCCGGGGCCAGAAGCAAGGGCTGGGCATGGGCAGAAGTGGCATCTGGGTTCTCTTGGCTCCTCTCATATCTCAGTCAGGGCATCAGCTGGCACCAGGCCTCGCTTCTTGCCACTGCTGACGCGGATGAAACCATCAGCATCCTTACTCCTGCCCACACCTACACAGATCTGCGCGGGAGAGACATGGCGCTGAGGCCTGGCACGGCCTGCAGCTCTGGCCCCGATTCCGAGTCCATCCCACTGATGGGTTCCAGGGGTCCACCCAGGCGGTGACAGGACCAGCATCAGATGTGGCTGGAGCCCTCAGCTGAGGGGATGGAGGCAAAGCCCAGGAGGGTGTCTGGTCCAGCAGCAAGACCAGGACATCAGCAGGTGCCGAGCAGCATCTCAGGACTGAGCTCGCCATCAGCCAGCTAGGCTCAGGCCCCACAGCCATTTCACAGACCAGGACACAGGGCAGAAGGACTTGCCTGTGTTTACTCAAGTCTGAGGCAGAGCCAGCATCCACCCCAAGCCTCCGGACTCCTGACCCAGTGCTCTCCCTTGCCCTGTGGCCACCAACCCCAATTCCCACGGATGACAACAGGACAGGCCAGGCCGGGCCTGCAGCCCCCTGCCTCTCACAGGCCTTCCCTCCTGCTCCTCCATCCTCAGGGTCCTGCCCTCTCACCCACACCCACTGGGGGGCGCTGCAGGACCCCAGCACTCACCTGGTTCTCCTTGAGGCTCATGTAGCCCTGTTCCTTGTTCCCGGAGAAGGGCTGGCAGCAGCGCCAAACATTTTCACCTGGTCTCACCCGCTGCACAAAATTGGCTGGGAAAAACCCAACCCGGTCGCCAATCTTGCCCTGGAGATGAGGCTGGCAGTGAGCTCCGGTGCCTCCCCACCCCTACCTCCACCACTGCACCAGATGCCCACATCGGGCTGAGGCCAGCGTCCTCCAGACCCTGGGCTTTCTGAACCCCGCTGGGAGGGCAGGAGGGAAGCAGAGGCACTAGGGCGGGGCAGGGAGCTTCCTTAGTTAGGGTGTGGTAGGAAGAGGGGAGGTCTTTAAGGTCTGAAGGGCGGGCAGTGCCCATTGAGGGCGGACTGTTAAAGCGCCTACCAGGGTCCTTCTGCTCCCCACCCTGCCAAGTCACCTTCCACCAGTCCTCATTAGAGTCGTCCACCAGCATGATCCGATCTCCAGGCCTGGGGAGGAGACAGCCTGTGGCACGCGTGTGGCAGGAGGAACCTGCCCTTCCCAGACAGACCTGGGCACCATGTCCCCTGCAGGCCCCCCTCAGGCACAGTGGACACTCCCAGGACAGAGCCTGGGAAGGGGGCAGGAGACACAGCAGCTCCTGGCCTCTGGCCTCAGCAGACTCAAGTGTACCAGGAAGCTCCTAAGCGCCCCTCCCACTCGCGTGCCTGGAGCCTGTGGCTGGCGCCGGCTGGCAGCCCTCCGGGGCAGCTCCTCAGAGGGCACTTACTGCAGGGCTAGGTCGTTGCTCTCCTGGGGCAGAAACTTGTAGAGCGCAACGTAGGAGTACATGGGCCCCACGTCCTTCCGCAGGAGGGCTCTGGGGTGCTGTGGGAAAGAGAACACCCTGCCACTGACCCGCCGACCCTGACATGCCAACCTGGGGGACTCGGAGGTGGGACACAAGTCGTGGGTCAGTGACAGGGCAAGGTAAGATGCTGCGACTTGCTGTGTCTTCCCACCCCAAGGGGGACTGGGCCAGGGGTGGAGGGGGGACATGCCCCTCTGCCTGCTGTACCCTGGAACTGCCCGCCCTTGGGGGAGCAGCTGTGGTGCAGTAGGTGGTAGGAGAGAGAACACCCCTACCCCTTCGCTCTTTCACCCTGGCTTTGTCCAGCCCCACGGCCTCGGGATAAAGGGTGGGTGGTGCTGTCCCACGGACCATGCTCTCACCCACCTGTAGGCCAGTGACAGAGAAAAGTGACATTCCGTTCCCCTGCCTGCCAGCACGAGTGTCAGCATCACCTCACCTGCTGCCCAGGACTCTTGTCCTCTGGTCCTGACCCTTCGCTCTCAGCTGGGGCTGTGAACACTGGAGAGATTGGGGGCGGGGGGCTGGAGTGAGGCAGCAGGGAGCCCTGCGCCACCCCTGCCCCTAGCCCTACTCACCACTGTCTCCGGGCCCCTCCTCTGAGCTGCGGATGCTGCCTTCCCCGTCCTCAGCCAGCTCATCCCGCTCGCTCTGGGACGGAGAGGGGAGGGCTCAGGCTCTGATCTCACCTTCAGAGCCCCCCACCCCTGAGGCTCCCCTTTGGTGTCCACCATACCAGACTTCTTGTGGGGGACTCAGAGGCGCTGCTGAAGCTGGAGCGGTTCATCAGGGCCAAGGAGGTGCCATAGCGCAGGGTCTCGTAGACGGGGTCCACCTTCCCACTGGCGCCTGCTGACAGTCCATCCTCAAGGCCAGGCACCAGTCACCCAGCTCAGTGAGCATCTGTGCCTGTCGCTGTTGCTCACACACAAGCTCAGTGCAAACCTGACTCCTGTCCTCACTTCCCATCCTCCATCACCTAACCACACCACACAGACATTTCTACCAGCTGCCCACTTCTCGCCATCTCCACTGCCCCCAGCTGGGTCCATGCTACCGAACTGTCACAGGCTCCCAGCTGGCCTTCCTGCTCCCACTCCAACCCGCACAGCAGCTAGAATACTCTTGTAAAAGCACAAAAATTGCCCTTAGGATCCAAATTGTCCTTAGAAAAATTGCTCTTAGAAAATTTAAACAGGGCCCTCCCTGGTGGTGCGAGTGGTTAAAGTGCAGCACCATGAAGCTAGCCGCAGCCACTGCAGCACGAATTCGATCCGGGCAGGGAGCTGACCCACAGGGCGGCAGACCTCTCCTGTCCCTGTCCCGCCCACTGCTCCCCTCAGCAGTGTATTTCAGTCAATCCGCCTGTTCTGCTCCCCACTCTGTCGCTGGTGAATCCTCTCAGCCCTGCACCACTGACCTATACCCCAGCTCATGTATGCATAAATAAATAAATCTTTAAAAAGAAAATCTAAACAATCCTACATTGGACCCCAAGACCTCGCACCCATGTCCCATTGCCCCACATGCCTGTCCTCCCTGTCCCCTTCCTTCCTCGGGCCACCCTCTGCCCGCCTGTGCCTCTTCCTGCAGGCATTAGGAGCCCCTGCTCGGGCACTCCCCTCAGCCCAACTCCTTTCCAGGCGTTCTCCCAAACGATGATTCACTGTGACTGGAGCTATCGTCTATTTCACAGCTACCTCCCTTACTAGCTCCGAACTGCGCCTTCCCAGTGTCTAGCAGTGCCTGCGCTTAGTGGGTGCTCAGGAAATAGTCTGCGAACGAATGGAAAACCCCTACATCAGGACAGGAGCACGGGGTCGGGGGGGCGGCTCAGGTACCATCTGAGGCCTGTGTGGGTTTCTTATCACACCCCAGTGGGGTCCGGGCAATGGCAGGGGGACACTCACCAGTGGGTGGAGAGTCTTTGCTGGTGGTGCAAGCTGGTGGCGGCTCATGCACCAGGAGCGGGGAGCTGAAGTTGCGACGGAAGGAGGCAGACTGTGGCAGGTAGGGGCAGAGAGGGCGTGGGCAGGTCACAGCTGCTGAACAACGCTCAGTCTGCCCCCAGCCCAAGGACCACCCCTGGGGGGACCAGCCTTGAGGCCACGCCCTGCATGCCAGTCCAGTAAGGGAGTGCTCAGTGCTCGGCATGGCCCCCTCACCGTCTTGCCCGGGCACTGCTGACGGGAGATCTCCTCAGAGCACCAGAGGTGGACGCTGACTTTGCACGTCTTGCACCGCAAGCCCTGCTTGGAGTTTCCTGGGGACGGTTAGGTGCAACAAGACAGGTGGTCAGGAGAGAAGCATCCGTGGGTAAGGAGCAAAGGAGGCAGGCGGAGATGCAGGGGAGAACAGGGGGTGGGCATTGCCCGCCAGCCCTCCTACAGCTGACCCTGAAGGCTGAGTTGTTAGTACACACAGCCAGGCTGGCTGCCCCCGCCCACCCTAGGGGCTTCACTGGTCTGCCCAGGGTGAGGGGCACAGGTGGAGTAGGGGGCCCCAAGAGCAAGAGCCCCAGCAGGTGCAGGCCCTCTCCCACGCCCACCCCCTCCCGCCCAGGCACCTACCCACAATGAGCTGCCGGCACAGCTCACAGGGCCCAGCTCGCTTGAAGATGTGCTCCTGGAAGCTGTGCAGCCTCACTGGTTTGAGTGGTGCCAGGGGGCGCGGGATCGGGCAGGGGGAGGGGGCCGGGGTGGGCAGGCGGCCGCTGTCCGTGGATGCTGGTGGCGGGGAGGGCGGGGGCAGCGGGGTTGGGGGCGTCAGCAGCACCTCCGTGGGGCACTTGAGTTCAGAGCCAGCGCGCAGGAAGAAGTTCTCCACACTCTTACTTCGGAGGATGGTCTTGAGGGAAAGCGAGCGCTTGAGGCGCTGGAGCTGTGAGAGGAAGAGGGGCGGGAGGGCATCACGGGGCGGCCCCTCCCCCAAGCAGCCCAGGAGGGGCCGGTGTGGGCCTGGGGCCAGAGACATGAAATACTGGAGAGGGGACCTAGTTCCAAAAAGTGGGTCACAATCCCAGACACTCACCCGAGCCAGGCAGGTAACTTCCTTGAGGAAGTTCTGGCTGGACAGACATACAGGAGTGGTGGGGACTGCGGCAACCTGGAGGGGGGGATGGGGGGGGATGGTGGGTGGGCAGCTACCGCTGGTTTCCTCTAGCCAAAGGGGATTAATCATACAGCCAACCCACTGCTGCCGAGTTTTCCAATTTTTCAAAAGAAATCTAGAATTTCATGTGAAACTGAATAGAAATAAATTCAATATTAAAAATCATATCTACTTAATATGTTCATTTGAGTCTAGGACTCAGGACAATGAGGACTCTCTTATTTTTGTTAAGATTTTATTTATTTATCTTTGTGTAGAATAGCTGGGGTGCAGACCAGAGGTGTGAGAGGGGGAGAGGATTCACCAGAGACAGAGCGGGGAGCAGAACAGGCAGATGTACTGAAACACACTGCTGAGGGAGCAACGGGCTGGGCTGGCGAGACAGGTCTGCTGCGTCACGTGGGCCACCCCCCTGGCCAGGGATGGAACCCAGTCGTCAAGGTGACAGTGCTGACTTAACCCCCAGGCCACCAGAGACGTCCCAAATTCAATGTTTTATTTCCTTTCCTCTCTTTTTCTTACCCCTTGTTTTTTTCACTAATAGTAAACCTCAATCCATACAAATACATGACCTCCTTAATTTTTTTAATGGCTACACAGAATTTCTTTGTATGGGTGCACAATTTTGGGGAGGCAAACAAAGCACTCAGGGCCTCCAATTTTCCACCTATGTTCTTGGACAGGCTGGGACTGGAGCATGGTCATCCAGGACCTTCACTGCCGCCTCCAAGCACCTGTCACCTCAGCGGTACCCTCCTCTGGCCCCTACAGCCCCTGTGTCCATCTGTCCCTTCCCATCTGCCCTCCATCCAGCTGCTAGGGAGGTGACCTCTGACCCTGCTAAAAGTATTTCATGGCTCTTTAGGACACAGCCCCAGCTCTTGCCCTGGCTGAGAACTACCCCTGGGCCAAATCTGCCCTCCCGCCAGCAGCCAGATGTGAGGATTCCGGAGCTATCTGCTTTATATCGATGGTGTGTCCCCTTCTCTGCTTCTTCCAGTGAACACCCTCTCTCCATCAGGGATTCCAGTGACCCCTCCTCCTGCCGGAAGTGCCCTTGTGCTGGGATTCCAGCTGGTGGAACCACTCCTCTGCTGGTGCCCGCTGCACCTAGACTACCACCTTTAAGCTCCATTCAGGTCCATGTTATCGTGGCTCATCCCCACAGGAGAGTGTGCTCCCCCCCCCGGGGCAGGCATGGTGGCTTCAAATCCCCCCATGGGGGCTCCACACATCATAGCTGCTTAGCCAAGGTTTGTTGAATAGATAACGTGCAAGTGGCCAGAATCCTAAATGGAGCCTGTGTTCTGGAGCTCAGGGTCAATCCGACAGGGTCACACCCTCGTGGAGTCTGTGTCATTCTCTACCTTGCCCCGCTCCTCTCCCACTGAGAGCCCCCTCCCTCTGCCCACTCCTTTCCACCAGTAATAGAAAAAGAGGATCAACGGGCTGGCTTCAGGCACAGAGACTTGGCCTGGGTTCTCCGCTGGCACATTGGGTGGCTTGTGTTCCGTGGCTGCCGGCCTGGCACTGGCTGCCAAGGGGAGGGAAATGGTGGCCCCTCGAGTCCCAGGGAGTCCAGCAGAGAGCCAGGAGGAGGGAGAAGAAGAGAGGGAGATGTTTGGGCACAGGGCAGGCGCTGGTGTGCCAGCAGAGAGGCCAGGCCCCTGGGGTGTCTGGCAGGCTGAGTTGCCTGGTTCCTTCCAAATGGAGCTTCCTGGATAGCATTGTGGGCTTCTTTGTACATATGAGAGAAGTAGGGTCCCCGACACCTGGGAGTGGGGGCAGAGGTGGAGGGCCAGAGGGATGACTAGTTGGAATACAAATGTATTCTATGGGCCGAAGGTGGTTCTTGGAAGGGACCATGACGGAGGGCAGAGAGCACATGAAGTCTTTGCAGGACGTGCTGAGGATGGGACAAGGCCGAATCCTGCTGCCTATAGCCAAGTCACTTCCTCTCTTTCTGAGCCTCAGTCTCCCCACAGCCCAGAGAAAGGAGGCAGACTCTGAGCAACGCAAGGCTGCGTCCACAAAGCAAAAACACAAACTCAGCTATAGCAAGAGGTGGTCCTTGCCAGAGGACCAGAGTTGAGCTTCTATGAGCTAACATGGTCAGCATCTCAGTATCTCGGTGCTACCCTCTGAGGTGGTGACCATTATTGTCCCACTTTTCAGAAAAGAAACCGAGTTTCGTGGGGGTTAAGCCACTTGCCGACCATGAGTCCACAGCTGGTAAGTAGCAGAGCCAGGGCCTGAACCAGTGGCTCTACTGAGCCCAAACAACCTGGCTGCCCTGGGCCTGCCTTGGCCCCAGCTGTGTCCTAGGCCTGTCCACCACATCCATCAGTCAGGGTTAGAAGGGACGTGAAAGGGGCCCTCCCTGGTGGTGCAAGGGGTTAAAGCACAGCATGATGAAGCTGTCCGCAGCCACCTCAGCACCAGTTCAATCCCTGCCAGGGAGCTGACCCACATGGTGCAGCAGACCTCTCCTGACTCGCCCGCTGCTCTCCTCAGCAGTGTACTTCGTCGATCTGCTTGTTGTGCTCCCCGCTTTCTCTCTGGTGAAATCTCTCACAGCTCCTCTACCTCTGCCTTGTACCCCAGCAATGTATGAATAAATAAACCTTTAAAAAAAAATAAAGGGGGACCTGAAAGACTGAAGAGCAGTCCCCCTACCCCATGTCACTCCCTGCAGGCCCTGGCCACATCCCCTGGGCATGGCTACCTCCCTGTAGCTCCCGTTCCAGAAGCACACCCTCCCTGGGACAGTCACTCCATCTTTGGGCAGCTGTTCTAGCTGGAAAGTGCTTCTCTATATAGAGCTGAAACCTGTGACTTCTGCCTGTCAGTCCTTGTCCCTCCCTTGGCTCCAGAAAAGGCAACTCCTTATACACATCAGTCCTTCAAATATTCAAAGACTTCAATCATGTCACCTCCCAACCCCTTCAGGCCATTATTTCCATTCTCGCAGGGTGAGATTTCAAACCTCCCCACTCTCCAGACTGTGCCCTTGCCTGGTCCCCCCGGCCTCAGTGCCAGAGGCACTAAAGGCCTCTGGAACAGAATGTTCCCCAGCACCAAGACAGCCCCAACTCTGCTCACTGTGAGCCCCAGACTCTGCTCACTTAGGCCATCGGGGGTGACTGGCAGATGTCAAGGATTACTGCTGGGGGCACTTGCTAAAGGACTCCATGCCTGCCCACTCTGGAGACATTGGGCTTGGCTACTCAAACCTCACTTCGGCTCAGCCTAGCCAGGTATTCCCACCCCCTAAGACTCCTTTTTCCCAGAGAGGACCTTTCCCCAGCTATCTTTATGGTGCCTCTACGGTTCCTGGACCCACTCCCTGGCATGAGAAGTTGCCAGGTACCCTGGCAAGCTGGCCCACCTGGATCCTAGTCCCTCCTAATGTAGCAGGAGCTTGTCTGGCTTCAGGCCTGGACCACCAGCTGTTTCTTCTGAATCCCCCCCAGAGGCAGGGCTTGGCCCACAGCCTCCCACCTGCCCACATCCTGGATGTCCCTTCTTTCCTCCGTTTCCCTCAGCATCTCCTCACTGACTGCTAGTTCCTGAAAGGGCAGAAGCCAGCTGTGGTGGGTAGTGGCAGATGTGGCACATGCCCAGGGCAGCAGGTTGCTCTTGGTCATTTGTGGCCATGGCACAGCTGGCAGGGTCTTCCCAAGGATGGCACCAAAGGGAGCAATAGCAGAATGGTGGGGTAGGATGAGGACCCTGAGTAGCTTGGGTGCATGGGTGGAGACCCACCCTTAGGGTGATAGGCAGGAGGTTGGACTTGGGTTGCCAAGAAATGCCCAGGGGCCCCAGTGCTGAGGAATAAGCCTGGATGTTGGCTTCGTTAAGGGATGCTTACCAGCCCCCTTTGTTGTACCTGCCTCAATCTGCCTTATGATGGGTGGGCAGTAAGCACCTCCTTCTCCATTGGGACAGGATGAGGTGGGGAATGGAAGGAAACTGGCAAGGCCCTGAATTCTCTCCTGGTGCATCTCTGCCCTTCCCTGTACTGACCCTCCCAGACCCACAGTCCAGCCTGTGTGGTTATTCCTGACTCGTACTTTACAAGGCTGGGGTGTGGGGAGGAGGGCAAAGGGACAGGGTCCCAACTGGCTTGGCACAAGCACCCTGGCAAGGTGTATCCCCCATTCCCTCTGCTCCTTGGATCTCCTGGGCTCAGACCCAAAGGGATGGCATTGGAGGGTCCTTGGGGTGGGAGGAGGGAGATACAAACAAGCAAGGTCCTGACCTCCCCCTCCCCACACAGCTGAGTTGGCAGCTTCCTGCTACTTTGCTGAGGCAGCACTACCCAGAGCTCCTGCAGGCACTGCCTGCTCTGGGAGCGCTCTCAAGGAGGGGGACCAGCAGCCAGACCTGGGTAGAGGAAGCAGGGCCCGCACGGGCGCCCCCCTCTCCTCTCAACCCCCCCCCCACTCCTTGAGAAGCAAGCTGGGGCATTGTGTCTACCTGCCCAGGGTGACCAGAGGCAGCTGAGGAGGTTGGAGGCACTGGAACCAGGATGGGACCCGCTGCTTGAAAGAAGCTGTCCCAAAGACTCCAGGCAATATCCTCCCAACCCAGCCCTCCATTCCTCTTCAGTAGTCTCGGCTCTCTGAGGGGGGCAGTTAACTCTGTAGCCTGAGAGGCCAGAGCCTCATCTCAGAAGGGGGCAGAAGGGGGCAGCAGAAGGGGGAGTCCCTCTGGTATAGACATAGGGAGCTACTAGGGGTGCTTCAATCACCCCACCCTGGTCCTCCTCACCTGCCCCTGGTTGCTCCCAGATGACCTTGACCTTGAATTAATCCCATATCCTGGGGGTGGGAGGAATGGTTAAGATGGAGTGAGGATGAAGAAGGGAACTGAAAAGAGCTTCTAGCGAACCCGAGGACATCAGAGCCCCCACCCACTGCTGGATCTCACTGCCCACCCTCACCCCCATCTGGACAACAGGAGCAGGGTGGAAACAAAACACCAGGGTAGAAGGGAGCAAGAAAAAGATCTTGGCCTGGAGCCTGGGGAGGAGGCAGGGAGCACCCTTCACACAGCCCCTTCTGGCCCCAGCCCCTTTGAGTTTGCCTCACGAAAAACTTCTGGCCGGTCAGTCCTGAGCGCCTAGAACTTGGGAAGGGAGCGGACAAATTAGAGGGGGTGGGGTGGGCTGAATGTGAGCGGTAGCCTCCCCTCACCCCATTCGGCGCCCGCCCGGAGTCTGAGCTCCGCCTGCCTTCGCAGGGGAATAATTTATTCATTGTGACTCCCGCAGGAGTAACAATCATACATAGTTAGGGTTAATTATGACATTCATTAATGACGATGGCTTCTGGTTTTTAGCGGTCCCTCCCACCCCTCACCTCGCGCTGTCCCGCTCCCGAGATGGGGGGTGGGGCTGCCTGTCTTTCAGCTTCGGAGCCGCAACAACAGTCGGCCGCCTGCGCTGGACCGCGCTGCCGCAGCCCCCAGAACCCAAAGCTGCGCACCCCCGGCCGCGGCCTCACGTCCCCGAGCCTAACCCGGCTGGCAGGCGGGGAACGCAGGACTGCGGCGGGTCCGAGAGACAGCCGGAGGTTCAGAGATAAACACTTGGAGACGCCGAGAACGGGGAGGGACGCACACGAGACCTCAGGAGAGACAAACAGGTTGTAGAGACACATTCGGAGGGACGCAGGCGAGGTGCTGGAGACCTGGCGGGCGCGGGAGGGGCGCGCCTGGCACGCACTCACCGGCGCGTACACCGACCCACAGCCGCTACACACCGCCACGCGCTCCCTCCGCCCGCGCTGCGCCGATTCCCTCCAACAAAGCCCGGGTCCAGCCTCCCTGGAGGGTCGCGGCAGCGCGTCCGCTCGTCACGCGCGCTAGGGCGCGCCGTGCTCGAGCGGTGGGGGCTCCTCGTGGCCCCTCGTGACGAACGCACTGCCCCCGGCCGCCGCTCGGAACCTGAGGGATCACGTGCATCTCGCTACCGTGACCCCAGGGCACACGCCCCACAGTGGCCACCGCGTCAGGAGGAGGGCTCCAGGGTCAGGGGCGCATCGAGCGGCGGTCCAGCCCTCGCCCTTCCGCCCCCCGAGTTACCTTGGTTTCCTGGAGGGCAGAGACGGTCTCCGGGGGGCTGTGGGTGGCCGCGTCATCCGGTTCGTTCTCCTTCTCGCTCATTTCGGTCATGGTTAGAGGAGAGGGGGAGCGAGGGTGCTGAGACCCGACGGCTGACCCGCCGGGGGCAGGCTGTGGGTGACGGGCGTTTCTCCGGGACCCGAAGCCCGTCTCCGGAGACCGCCCCGCAATGAATACCAGGAGAACCCCCCCAGGCAAAGCAACCCCCCTCTCCTGGACGCCGGTGGAGTAAAGTTCCGGGCTTGGCCGGTGAGGGGGAGGTGATCACACCAAGCCGCGGGAGCGGGACGACCCCAGGAGTGAGCACCGGGGGTCTGCAGAAGATGCTGCTCGCAGCGAGGGGAGGAGGGAAGTGGGGACGCGAGGATGAGCCGAGGGAGGGAGCGACCGAGCTGTCGGTGTCCGGCGGCCGGCTCCACCGTCCTTTGCGCCCGCCCCCCATCCTCCTCCCCCTCCCCCCCGCCGGCCCCTGCCGGGCACCCGGCGGCCCCTCCGCCCAGTCCTCGCCTCCCAACTTTGATTTAGGAGGTCGCTTGGTCCCTCCCCCTCCGCTCCGCGGCTCCCCCGCGCCGCTATGCAAATGAGATTCTCAGCTATTGGTTGCTGCGAGGGCCGAAAGGGCGAGCTGGGCGGAGCCTGGGGGGGCTCGCCGAGATGGGGAGGGGCTTGGCGTGGAGCGAAGTGAGGCGTCCGCGGTTTTACACCAAAAAATAACCTCCATTTCGGGAGGGGGCATGACAAGGTTGAGAGGAGGCACGGGATATCGTATGAGGTTCTAAATAGGGTTGGGGAAACAGAAATAGCTTCATCTATAGAGGTATAGCTGTGAGATCGAAGTTAGGACTTGCAGATAAAGACGGAAGATGCCCAACGTTCGTGGAGAAAGAATGGGGACACTTGTGCCCCGTTAACTGCAAGTCTCTTTGCCCCGGAGAGACTCTCTCCACACATCCTTCACATCCTTGGACTATAGGTTAGGGGTTTCCTCAAGCAGAGAAGCGGTAACATCATCATGTGTCAAAGGCCAAGCCCGACAATGCCAGTTTTGTGGATGAAAAGTACAACTGTATTCCGGTGTGTGAACTCCAGCAGAAAGGAGCCTCAGTCCCTACATCTGCGGTCCCCTCTCCCTGACACCACCGCCTCCTAAAGACCCTACCACAAATGGAGTTAGGCCGGAGGACCCCGAGAGGCAGAGGAGACCCTCCAAGTGCCCTGTCTCTACCTGGTCTGAAGGTGCATCTTGCTTACTGCTCTCCCCCAAGGCCCCTTCTTCACCTGCAGTCCTCTTTCATCCTGCTCCTTCAGGCCCTGGCCAAAAGGTGTAACTTCACATCTTGATCTATCCAAGGAAGGAGAGTTAGTTTAGGGCTTGAAAGAATGCTTTCCTGGGTGTGAGTGGGGTCTAAATTTCCCTTTTCCAGGGGTTCCTCAGTTGTGGTTGATGAGATGGGGAGGGTGTGGCATTCAAGAAGGTCCTCCTGCCTTTATGCCATCTTTGGAGGACAGGGGCTGAGCACTGGCCCCTCCCCCCCACCCATGCACGCAGCCATTCATGCCACCTCTGCCTCCCAGGATGAGCTCACCCTTGGAGCACTGCTTAGGTTACTGTGTCCAGGAATAGAGATTTATTTGCCAGTGGCAGAAGTAGGACAAGGGCAGACGTGAGCGTTTGTGGTTGTGGGTGCTTGGCCTACTCCCCCTCCAGATCAAACCTCTGCAGCCATGGACTCCCCATTAGTTTTCCCGAAATAAGCTTCAACAGGACCTGGCATCAACCCTCAAACCCGTTTCTCCGAAGGCCCATGATTGCCAACCTGTTCCCAATCTATTCTGAGAGCTACTGTCCTCCTCTTGCCCAGTCAGTGTACCCCCCTGCACCCCACCACCCAGGATAACTCAGGGGTGCCTGGGACACCGGGCCTTCTAGGTTTGGAGACTCCTTGGGGGGACACTCCTGTTTTTCCCCAAAGAGCAGGGGCTCTGGGTTCACCTCTAACTAACTGTGTGACCTTGGACAGGGAAGGAAAGCTGCTGAAGCCTTGACTTCTTCCTCAGCAAAATGGAGATTCACCTCATTGTGAGGAGGATGGATGAGGTAGTGCAGTTTGTTGCTTAGTCTAGGGAAACTAGGCAGGGAAAGTTCCTTTTCTTCTTTCGTTCCTTTCTTCCAGGAGATTTATCCCTTTCCAGTGTTCCCCTGAGGCAGAAAAAAGAAAGAGCTTCCCTTCACTGTTGGAGCCTGTTATTCCATGGGGGCCAGAGGCGATTCGGACCACAGGGAAAAATTCCCAGGGGAGTCAGTGTTGCCCGTGCTCAAGGCAAGTCTGGGAAGTTGGTGGACCCTGGACCCACATGGCCTCAACATCAGAGCCTGAGTGGAGGCAGCTGTGAGGAGGTGGGGGCTGGATCCCGTGACCTCTGGATGTCCTCTCTGGCCTGCAGTCTTTGTGTTTCCAGCATCTTTCACCAACTAAGTCTGAGTCATTTCTCTCAGCCTGGACGACTCCCACTGCAGTGGCTCAGGGGCAGGGCAGGAGCAGCCTGACTAGCTTCTCCAGGAGCAGAACATTGTCCCATCGCAGACCCAGAGGGCAGGAGTGAGGGTAGGCAGAGCCAGGGCTGAAGTGCTACAGCAGGGTTAGGGGCCATTGCACCTGCCCCCGGGTTCCCCAGCAGCAGCCATGAGGGACCTAGGAGGTGTCTCTTACTAGAGCTGAGTGGGTGCTGATGGACACTGGGCCTGCGGGAGTCTAGGGGCAGAGGAAGGACGAAAGGACTTCAAATCTGCATGTGACACAAAGCCCAGCGCATTGGCATCTTGACCTGCCTTTGCTTCCTGTCTATGACCTTGGGCAGAGAATGGTCCACCGCTGGAGGGACTTTGTTTCCTTCTTTTTAGACTGGCATAATTGGACCAGGCTAGGTTGAAATGGGGGAGTTAGATTAAAGTGGGGGCAATAATAGTGCACCCCTCACTGAGGACTAGATGAGTTGATATGGGTAATAGCTGAACAGTGTAAGGACACAACAGGTGATGATGATGATGATGGGTCCTTAACCTTGGGCTCACAGGTAAGTTCAGGGAGTTCATGAATCCCTTGAAAGTGTGTAAAATTTTGGATTTCTTGGGGAACGTCCAGAGCTTTCATTTGCTCCTCAAAGACCTAAGATCTTTCAGATTAAGAACCACAGGCCTGGGCTCTCCCTGGTGGCGCATCTCATCTGGTTAAAACACCGCACTATGAAGCTCTCAGAAGCCACTGCAGCATGAGTTCCATCCCCAGCCAGGGAGCTTACCCACGTGGGTAAGCTCTCCTGACCACAGCTCCCCTCAGAGTGTAGTTCAGTCAATCTGCCTGTTGCACTCTGTCATACCCCTACCTCTCGCCTATACCCCAGTTCTGTAAGCATAAATAAATAAGTCTTAAAAAAAAAAAAAAGAACCACAGGCCTGAAGGAGCCCGAGTTTCCCTCTAATCTGAGGGCTTGAGAGTCTGAGTTGAGGGAGTCCTCTTTTCTTCTGTAAGGAATGATTTATTTTCTCTCACTAGCCCCTTCAGTTCAAGCCTCTCCACTGTGGCCTCTGACCCCAGGGGTTGCCACAGACTGCCCAACCTGGAAACGGGAGTGGCTTGCCTTTCCCTCCAGCTGTGGGATCATGGTTCTGGGGGCAGGTGGGGGGATCCATCGTGGTTGAGGCCAGGTTAGGGTTCTCATTTCTCAGCTGGGGAGAGGAAAAGGGCCAGACTGGCAAGGTGAGAGAAGCAGAGGACCCAGTGAGAGGCCTGGCCTCGTCCAGTCACCTTTACTTTTCCTAACCAGCCCACCTGGGGCCCCAGAGGCAGATACCTCTCTAATGAGCTAAGGCCCATGGCAGGCATCAGTAATTAAGATTTTATGGAAATATGGATGGCTCTTACGCAAGTGCCTGACACACTTCCTGACTGGCATCTGGGACAGCCAGGTCCCCAAGGGCTGGAGGAGGCCCCTCCACCTCCTGCTGCCGCCAGCCCCTGAGCTGAGACACTGGCTCACAGCCACCCTCCTATGGCCTGTGGCACTGTCCCTTCTCCCTGTGCCCCAGACCCCCTCGAGGAGAACAACATGGGTCCCAGTGTGGCCAGTCCTTCACCCCAAACCCCTGCCAAGCCCTCCAGGAGACCTGTTCTTATATGAGGCGGATATGGGTTTGGGGCTGTCCCTTCTTCAGTGAAGAAAACATTTTTGCAGGAAGACATGTCTTCTGTTCTATTCCTTCCCCTCCAGGTTGGGGATCGAGGGCTGCACTGGGCAGCAAGCAGAGGGCAGTTTCTCTTATCGATTTGGGCAGACAGACAAAAGACAGTCCTGGGGCCTCAGTGGCTTTTTCAGGTTTTAATGATCTCTCTGAGCCAACGGTTGTGGCCAAGGCGGCAGGCTTCAAGGCAGGGAGGCCAGGCCAAGAGGCTGGCAGGCCCACGCTCCCCAGCGCCTTTGGTATTCAAGGCCTCAGGTGATAGCCACAGAGGCCAGCAGCGGAAAAGCCTGCCCAATCCACTTACCCTATGAGGGCTGGCAACAAACTTGTGCAGTGTGTGGTGGGGTGCTGGTGGAGGGGTGGGGCCATGGCCCCTGGCAGCCTCTCCCCAGGCCCTGTGCCATTTTGCCCACCCTTATCTCTCAGGCCTCTCATACTGTACCAAGCCATGGTTTTCTTTCTCTAGTTCATTCTCCCTACACCCTCATAAGACATCTGTTGCCAAGCCATCACCTTGGATTGAGCCAGGGGTGGGCTGAGCACCCCAAATACTGAATGAAAGATTTTTGCTGCTGAGGGCCCCTGGGTAGATTGGAGTGGAGACTTGGAAAGAAGGGAGGGTGAAGTCTGGAAGCAACGATCAGGTGTTAGAGGTGAGGGTGACCCTTCTCTACCACCTGGGGGAAGCTAAGGTATTGAGGTTGGGAGGGTGGTGCCCATAACTCTTCCCTCCAGACCAGCTGGGTCACTCTAGTTAGGGAGGTTTCCTAGGACTGAATCTGCACCCTCTGAAGCAATAGGGGTAACTGGAGCCAGCCCCAGCCCACACCGCCCCCTGCAGGCTGCACAGAAAGCTGTGCCAGATGTCCCTCAGGCAG